GAAGGCAGACGCTTAACGACTGAGCCACCCAGGTGCCCCTTAAAGAATTTTCTAAACTAAAATATCCCTGGGAGAGAAAGAAAAAAGAACTTACCTAAATTTATTTGATGGATCTGAGTTTTGAAGAATAAAAAAAATTGTAGCATTCATTTCACATATAAATGAAAGCCGAGTTTATTTCTTTATAGCTTTATTGTTCACATATTTTGATACTTTAAAAAAAAATTTTTAAAGATTTTATTTATTTGAGAGAGAGAGCATGAGCAGGGGGAGGGGCAAAGGGAGAGGGAGAAGCAGACGCCCTATTGAGCAGGGAGCCCTGCATGGAGCCCCACCCAGGCTCAATCCCAGGACCCTGAGATCATGACCTGAGCCAAAGTCAAATGCTTAACCAACGAGCCACCCAAGCACCCCAGTGGCGTTTTAAACATAATGTAAATAATTCAAACAGTTCAGGGTGAAATATAACACATGTGGCACATAATTATATGTAAATAAAAGCCCCCCCAAAATAAATAAAAATAAAAATAGGAACCCCCCAAAAATAGGAACCCAATACACAATATGTGTTTCATTCAAAAAAAAATAGAAAGTCTATTATTATATATGTAAACATTTATTTGGGTAAATAAGTAACTACATGCAACAAAGAGTTTTCCTGAAATTACAGCACATGTATTTATATCAAGTGAAAACTATTAACTTACTGAATAAGTAATCAAGTTACCAAGAAGCCCTAAGGGCAAGTATTTTCAGATGACACTTTGTCTCCTGAGCCTCATCTTTGCTGTCCAGAGTTTACCTCTAGAGAGGGAGAGGCATGGCTGTCCAAGTCTCGGGATGAATGAAAGATGGAAGTTTTAGGCTTAAAAGAAATGCACAAGCATCTCTGCTGAGTCTGACAGGTCTTTGGACAGCAACTGACACTTTTCTGGTAGCTGGGGAGGAGGTAACCACTCCCACAGCTGGAGTGGGGTCTGTGCATTCCTGAAAGTATTTCAAACACAAAGCAGAGCAGTCAGGGACATCTGAAATTACCATTGACCTGACCTCAAGCTGTTTTTCATAATTCAAGGTGCAGGAACAGATTCAAATTATTTACAAAGAGAGCATTGGAGAGACAGAGAGACAGAGAATAGAAAACAGAAAAGCCCTCCCTGATGGTCAAACAAGGGTGCGTGAAATTAGCAACCCATTCACGTGGGTCCAGTTTGCACCTAGACTGGTAAGGTCTATTATTTAACTATTTTCAGAAAAAGTATGTCTTTTTTCCAAAAAAAAAAAAAAAAAACACAAAAAAACCCACAAAAACTGATGATTGTCCTGGAATCAGTGGTAATGCACTGGCTTTTGGTTTTTGGGGAGATTTTTTTGGTTGGTTAAGTTTAATTTGGGGTGCAATGAATTCAGTAGGTAATACCTGAGCGTGGTAGATACTCCCAAAGAGACAAAAAGTCTATCTGCAGTGAGAAGTGATTTCCTTCCTACCCTCCACAACCGGCAAATTGCCTTCCCAGAGGCCACCACTGTGGCCAGGTGGCAAGCCTACCACGTATGCTCTAAGCAAATATAACCAAGTGTTTGTGTCTCTCCTTTCTTGTTTTTGTCTTAGGGGCCACGTTCTGTACACAGTCTGCAAGCTGCTTCTCTCAACCCATCTCTCCTGGGGACTGTTTCATCTCAGCATGTCTAGACCTGCTCCGTCCCTTCCAATAGGTACAGTGCATTCCGATGAATCATCACCCCACAGCATATATCCTACCAGGACCCTGCTAATGGCCACACTTGCAGAACCTTTCTTCTTGGATCTCCAGCTAAAACTTCAGCTGGGAGGCCAACTGAAATTGTTCTGTTTCATTGTGCTCAATTTCTGTTTAATTCTGAATTCTGCTTAAATTCCCTCAGATCAGTTATTTAGCAAAACCCGAAAAATCTTACTCACAGCTACCGAGCAAACGCCGTGCTTGAGAAAATAGTGAGGAGGAGGCTGACTCCCGGTCCTCGCTGTCTCTGTGTCTCCTTGGGGCCTAGCATTATTCACATTGTGGGCACTTTAGTTCTGTTGCTAGATGTCAGGACATTCATTGGCTGAATGAATGAGGAGACGTGGAACCATGACCAAATATCACAACCAGGAGGCCAGTCACGTGAAGCACGTTGCTCAGCCGAGGAAACTGGTTTGCACTTGACAAAATGTTACTGTCTTTTTTTTTTTAAGATTTATTTATTTATCTGAGAAAGAGAGAGAGGGTGGGGTGGAGGGGCAGAGGCAGAGGGAGAGAGGGTCCTAAGCAGACTCTGAACTGAGTGTGAAGCCCAACGCGGGGCTCAATCTCACGACCGACCCTGAGACCATGACCTGAACCGAAACCAAGAGTTGGACGCTTAACCAACTGAGCCACCCAGGCACCCCCAGAATGTTGGTGTCTTAAAAGCAGTGTACTGATCTGTCAGTCCGTTGGAAAACTTATGGCAGCAGAAGGAACGGCAGAAGAAACATTCTAAATCATGAAGCGTGTTCTAGGCTTCGGGAGAGGGTAGCAGCTTAACTACAAATTCAAGAAAACTAGGTTTATTATTAGAAAGTTAATTCTGTTCTACAATATTCGCACATTCCCCAGCTCAGGGACTGTACCTATCATTCAAGATCCCTTTGAATGTACAAATCAACTAGCAAATGCTCTGCCTTCTGCAGGCCGCCTGTCTCCAACTAGCTATTTCAGGCAGGAGCTGCTGTTCTGGGAGGTAAATACTTTTCGCAGGCCAAGATTTACCAGCTTGTCTTCAACAGGAAAAAATACCAAAGGGTTGGCTTAGCATGTAAATGAGGGCAGCCTGATTACCACGCTAACTTCTGGTTATGGTGACACTGTTTTGAACCATCCTGGACACGAATTTTTGTTCTCTTCTGTTTTATGGGTGTGTTGTTGTCCTGCTTTAAACTCATGGGCTTAACAGTTAAAACATGGGCCATCCCTCACCCACCCAAAACACAAATCCGCTGCCGTCCAAGATGCTACTTGCCTTATGAATATACAAATCACCAGGAGGGAGACCGTAAAGTATTTCCTCAGGAAGGTCCCGTTTTTCTTCTGTCGCTGATGCATTTCTCCACCACACTTGTTACAGTAACGACACAGACCAAAGCAAAACCCCACCAGAGGCATCAGAAAGACAAAGAGCAGTCCCAGGACAGCACAAATAATAATCCCGATTTCATAGTAGATAATCTGCAAACAAACAAAAGAAACAGCATATACTGTAACACAAAATAACAAGTAGAACATTCCATAGTGTGCATGTTTCATTTGTTTTAACCTATTTGCCAGCGTGAGTTAAATCTTAATGTGTGTATTTCCATCTTGATGCTCCTTTTTTTTTTTTTTTAGAGGGAAGGGCAGGGGAAGAGGGAGAGAGAGAATCTTAAGCAGGCTCCACGCCTAGCGAATGAAGCCTGACACAGGGCTCGATCTCACGACCCTGAGGTCATGACCTGAGCCGAAATCAAGAGTCAGATGCTTAACTGACTGAGTCACCCTGGAGTCCCTTGATGCCCCTTCTTGAAACAGAGGAAGCAGATTTGAGTTACCAGAATATGGAACCAAGTGGTTACTATCTTCTTTCAACTCAGGGTAAAATGTCCAAATGCACGGTCAAGTTGCAAATGGCTGAATTTAAACCCCAAAGGTATTTTGTTTGTTTTTAAATGGTATAACACATTTTGGCAGAAATACTTGCATTATGAATAATCTACATATCGGGATGATTTTTCACCAGAAAGACAGGACCAGTAGAAGTTATTAAGGATTCAAAGCAATTTGGATTGGATCAATTCATGACGAATTCATAGTTACAAAAGAATCTGGAATATATCTAAATTTAGAAAAAAGGCTCAGACTTTTTGAGTCAGACATGTTAATCACAGGCCACTCGCTTTGTTTCCCTATCCATATGCTGGGACTAATAATACATACCTTGTAAGGTCATGTCATTGGGAACATTACAGATAATGTATGATCAGTGCTAAGGTGCCAAGTGCAGTATGTAGCCTTTGTAAGTGGTACCTCTCATGCCGTGCTGGCGAGGCTGGGCTCAGTAGCCCATGTCTTGGACAGTCCTCTGTTCCTAGGACCTAGCACAACTTCGAGATAGGATCATGTGACCTAAATATATTTTCATAATCTCTGCTGGGGCTGTATTCTGGGATTAAAAAAAAAATTAATGCAACCGGATGACACAAAACTTGAGTTCATTCCAATGCATGTGTACAGTTACTCACATTTCAATAAAGCCAAGCTGAGCCAAGTAAATGAAACACAAGTGTTGCTCCTAGGAGCGAATGTGAGGTCTTAGCACTGAACTGGGAGTCAGAAGACCTGCTTTAAATTCCAGCAGGGGGCTTCTAGTTCCCTAAACCAGAATTAGCATTAATGTCATAAACTGTATTGTGAGGGTCAGATAATTAAATGATTTAAAGTGAAAACAAGAGCTAAGTGCCCAACACATAGTGAATAGTCAATCAATATTAGTTAACTCTGTGGGCAAATGCTTCAGAGCATTGAGGTGCACGTGGCACTTGAATATTAATGGAATATTCTTTGATATTAAGGATAAAATGCTAAAAAAAAAAAGTGGTTGAATTTTGCTGCATTCATCAAGTACACGCTCCTGCTTAAACTTGGCCGCACCCCATGTCCACAGAGAGTCCTGTAACCTGCCCTTGGGGACCCACATCATTGGCCAATTGAGAAACCAGCCTCAGAAACCCCAAACTCTTCTCAATTTCAATATCATTTCCCAGCAAATGTTCTAAATTATTTACTATTTTTCAAAGGGATTTAAAATCCTTTCTGAATCCCAGGAAGATAATGAACCCAAACCCAGGAGAGAAGGTGTTTTGAAATGTTCTAAATGCACTATGTTTAGCTCCAAGTACAAATTTCACACTTTATATACAACCTTTGCAATGCCACTGACTCAATATTATGTCAAAAAGTATCAGGAACAAGATATGTCATTTCAAGAGTTCCTTTCTGGGCTGAAGTCTGGCCAAGGTCTGGCAAGGACCCAAATGATTTCCTGATAACATGAGGATCTCCAGGGCGCTCTGTGGATGATGTGGAGGAGGAGATCAGGATTGAAATTTACTGAGATGGATCGCTATTCTTTGGCGAAGTACTAAAACTGAAAGAGAAGATTAACGATGATTCCATAAACAAAAATGAAGCAAGCCACTTTAAAAAACCCCCACAGCGGCTTTAGCGCTCGTTACCTGCTGGCTTTAGACAGAGCAACAAGAAACAGCAAACAAGGACTTTACCTTCAGAGTCAAGACTACATTTTCTGGCTGTGGAAGTCAAAGCAGTTGAGGAGTTGAGGAGAGTAAGGCAGAGGCAGCATGCATCAAGAAAACAGAAAAAGTTACATGAGCGATTAACCACAACTGGGAACGTTAATATTCCATACAGAGAAAATCAAGGAGAGGAGGATCCACACAAGACAGGAACATAAAACTTGAGTGTTTATTAGAGAAACAGCCTTCAGGTAGAGTCAGGTCTGGAATTTACATCTGAAATTTATATATGGATTTCTTGAAAGGTTCTTATCAATATGCTAACCAGTTGTGGACGGGGCGGCGGGGAGCGGAATAGAGGGAAAGTTACACATGCTTAACACACTAACCATGTGGTCTTCGCACAATAGAAGATCAGTAGCTGCCTAGAACCCCAGTCAAAACAACGGCTTCCAAAGCGTCCTTTCTGAACTGAGAATCTGATGGCATTATTCTCTTGCTCAAAGGCATTCCAAGCATTCCCACCATGTTTCATTCAAACCTCTTCATGTGATCCTGTTATTTAATCCTGGCTTCACGTCCTGCTCTTCTTGACCATTCTGTTCCTAGGAAGAAGTCTCCTGTTCCCCCTTCCTCCCTCCAGCTCCCTGGTGCTGCCTCCTCACCCAGAACAGCATTCCCTTCACTGCTCTGCTCATGAAACTCAAGTCTGCCTGGATGTTGCGTCCTCCTGGAAATCTGTCTTGAGAACCGAGTGTGAGTTTGCTTTTATCATGCTGCCTTGGAGGCCACTCCTGCCCCACGAGGAAGGGCTCTCCCATGGGAGCACCGCCTGAGCCCCGCTGTTCGCTCGGGGAGAGCAAGAACCATGACGTCATGCTCACCATTCTCTCACCCACCCCGGGACCTGGCGTGCAACAGGTGCCCAACTGGAATCAGGTAAACTGATGAACTCAGTGAGGGAGTTTCCAAAATCGTGGTCCAGAGATAGGGCTGGACCGCCCCGTAGTGAAACAGGAAAAATGAAGATACAACGAGTGTCCCATGAAGTGAAATTTGCTCAGTGTATCCTTTGGTGGGGAGAGGGAGGTGATAGGTATACGAACGCAGACAAAGTTAATATCGTTGCTATGGTGGGTTTTAAATATCCCTGTGTGGCAAAATAAAATCGGGTGGCTCTATGCCATTCCCTGGATTACTTTTTTGAAACAGTGTACTCTGGGAAATCTAAATTTGGAACTATAGCTTTGGATGGCAGATTTTCACAGATGTGAAAGAACGATGATTGTGATATTAGTAACTTTTAAATGAGGCATACAACGTGTTGGAGTGGGCAGCTCAGATACACATGCCCCCAGGGTCACATGGGGCACCTTGAATGACCCTGGGCGTGGGCCCCACAGGCTTGTTGCCTCCCAAACTTACTACCATAACCACCTCATAGCACCTCATACTAAATACTGGCTTCCAGATCCTCCCCTAGAGCGGGTATCAGGAGATTTGGGTAAACCCAGGCATCTGTCTTGAAAGCAAGCCCCGTGTCTTGGCTATGATCAGGTGGGTTTCGGAAACCTGCTCTCAGCTCTAGGGCTGGTCATGCTGGGCTGAGCCCCGGGGCAGAAGGCCTGTAAACTACCACCATCAGCTGATTCTTTTGTGTTTAATTTTGCCGCTGAGGGGTCGGTCTGGTCTGATGTATTTGTTGGGGTACCAGCAAACTCCACAGTGCAGCTGGGTACATCTTCACCTTTTCCCCGTTCATGCTGGCTGTCACACAGGTCTCAAGTTATTTTCATGCAATGCAGCAGTTTGAATCCTGCTGTACGGCTTTGTGTCTGTGATTCCCCACACCAGTTAATTACCCATTATCATCACCCAGGGACCTCTTGAAAATAACCAGCCAGCCCTGACCAACTACATCAGAATCTCTGGGGGACAGGCCTGGGTCTTGTTGGCAGTGCTACTCTGAGCCTTTGTTACCTTACTAACAGAACGGGGATAAGCAGAGATCCTATTTTATGCAGTTTTTGCAAAGAGAACAAGAGAAAACAGTGAGCAGCAACACGGTTTTGTGCATTATTCTGTTCTAAACACTTTACATATACTATTTACTATGTGTTAAATAAGTTAATACATGTGAAGTGCTTAGGACCTGGCTTCCCAGAGTAATGCTCAGTCATCATTATCATCCTCCTCCTCATCATCATCAGAAGTAGAAATAATCAATGCATGTTAACATTATTCTCATCTCTCACCTCCAACAAGCCTCAGACAATGACCCTGGTCATGGGTCGTTGCACTGCTTGCTCTCTTAAATGCTTCTGAGATCTCTAGAAGGTAATTTCCTTACTTGGAAAGGAGAGTGTGTTCTTACAGGCAGCATGCCACGTCCCCCTGGGGAGCAGGAAACAAGGAACTCATTCACTTACCTTTCGCAGACACGTAGGATGGGTTGCAAACACCACACACCCACCTGGAATGATGACCTGCCATTTCCTAAGTGCCAAATCCATATCCAATGACTGTTAGCACTAGTGAGGTCATGAAAGGCAGCAGGGATGAGGCCCAGGCCCAGTACCTGCCGCCAGAGGAAGCTTCAAGAAAGGGAAAGGTAAGAACTGAGGGATGACATGAATGAGGAAGAGCAGCCAACCAAGAAGCTGAAGTGGAGATGGACCATGACCACAAGAAAAGGAATCCAGGAGGTCATCCCAAAGAAGCTGGCCACTCCTACGGACAGGGATGCACAGAATGAAAAGACAGAGGTGGCGGTGGGGGGTGCTGCTGGGAGAACTGTCCCCTGGAAAAATTTCTAGAGGTGCGGGTGGTACTTAGGGGTTGTTGATGGGAACCAATCATAATCATCTACCTAAACTGCCCCAAACTATGCATTCTTTGAAGACAGGGACTGTGTCCTTTTATTTAATTGAGGAGCCGCTGCTTGATGAACTCAGCTAAGAGGCTCTCTCTGCGGAAAGCCCATGTGAGCTGGGAGGAGGGTGACGGAATGCTGTTTCCATTGGTTTTCAGTCAGCCAGAGACTCTAGGAAGGGGCTCACCCACGCTGATTCCCAAGGGAACGCACTCAGGTGCGAGTTACCCATGTAATCTCTACCTTCACATCTGTGGTGAGGACAGACTATTCCTGGGAAGACCAAACTGAGTAATACTTGTAAGTCATGAACAAGGGCACCCACCTCCAAGCACGTGCTACAGAGATGCTAGGAACCTGGGGTCATTAGAGTTGTTGCTTGGATTTCCATAGCTTCATCTGCCTGGTTCTCCGCTTCCCTCATGGCTCCATAATTCCAAATCCTAGTCCTCTCCTGGATTTCCATTTCTGCCGGACCACTTCTTCCCAGGGTTGATTACCCACTGTCACAGTTTGTGGCTTAATGGGTAGAAGGCACCGCATGGAGGCTGTCAGTCTCTCTCTACAGCCCAGAATACTCACATGAGCTGCATCTTCCAAATTAGTCATTTTAGGACTACAGTCCAGTGGCCGGGGTTGAGCCTAATTTTTGTTGGTGATGTGCTTGTCAGTTAGGAGTTAGACTCGTCTGGGTACGAATCCCAGTTTCAGCCTTTAGTCACTGGGTGATCTTGGGCAAATTCCCCAGCCTCTCTGAGTGCGGGATTTTCTGGCATGCGCAGCGCAGATACTTCTGCCTCGGACAGGTGTCATTGTGAGGATGAGAAACAGTGTCAGGATCCTCAGCCAGTGTGGGCCCAGGGTGGACAAGAATTAGTATTACAGAGAGGGCGATGACCCAGTCTATGCTTCAGAAGCAATGAAGCAATGAAGCAGCTTTGCACCTTCAGCCAAGTGCTCATAAACAGAAGTGAGGCTGTATTTCTCATCTACTCTACATGCTTTTGACATCTCAGTTCAAATGCAGCCCTACCGTGGAGTCTTTTCCCGATTTCCCAGGTGCAACAACAATCCCCCTCCTCCGAGCGTTCACGGTCCTTTATCAGAACTTCTTCCATGATGCGAATCGCCCTCCACCTCACAGTCCAGCTGTCGACCGCACTCTGTCTGCCGGGGCCGCCATGACAGAGCGCCACAGGCCAGAGGGCTTGAACAGCAGAAAGGGATTTCCTCACAGTTCTGGGGGCTGGGAGTCTCAGATCAAGGTGCGGGCAGGGTTGGTGTCTTCTGAGGCCTCTCTCCTTGGCTTGCAGATGGCTGTCTTCTCCCTCTGTCCTTACGCGGTCTTGTGTGTGTGTGTGTGTGTGTGTGTCCTAATCTCCTCTTCTTATAAGGATACCAGTCAGACTGGATTAGGACCCACTAATGACCCCATTTAAAATTAATTACCTTTTTAACAACACTATCTCTAAATACAATCCCACACCAGGCGCTGGGGATTAGGACTTCAACATATGAATTGGGGGCAAATCGGTTCGTAACATCCATGTTTATTTCTTATCCCATAACCTCCCTTCCACCAACTTTCACATGTTTGTCGCCCTACCATGCCTTGTTCCTAGTGAGCACTCTGTCAACAGTGATAAAATGAATACATAAAACAAAAGAGAGAAGTAAAAGAAAAAATGTCAAGGAGGAGAGGGGCCAAGGATCTTAAAGCACTACCTTTAACTTTCAGTTGAAGCATAAAAAGGAGGCAGTTCTGTGAAAGGGAGTCCTATTTCCCTTCCAAAGTTAGGCCCAGCCCTTGGAACAAAAGGTCTGCTGAATGCTTCTGAACCTCCTTATGGAGAGAGTTCACTGAAAGAGCGCCCAGCGGGAAGGTCACTGCCTCAGAGGTTCCGCCACCATCTGAGGGCTCACGGGAGGAGGAAATGCTCAGCTGGGGACAAAGATAGCTGAAAAGGCTCCTCAGGGCCACTCGCCTGGCCAGACCTTAGCTGTGTGACTGCGTGAATTAGGGAGGCCGTGGGCACCGGTCAGTGCAGAAGATGCTGTTGGTGCCCCCTCCCCCCAACCTCCCTCAGGCCTCGGTCATCCCCCTGTGCCTCCTTGAACTTCTAGCCCCTGGCATCTTTAACTCTGCACTGGAAGGCCTTTTCTGGAACCATGGAAGGTCAGAAGTGCTTAAGGGTGAACCCTTTCCCCCACTCCCACACAGCCCTTAACCTGTGCGCCTTCAGTCTCGGTGTCTGGATACCTCAGCTTCCTCACCCTTCCCGTGGGCTAATTCGGACACTGGTGGTTGGCACCGTTTCCCCAGCAATTCTATAGGATGACGCTCCAGTCAGGCCACACCTTTTACACCAGTCAGGCCACCCTCCCTCCCTTGTATTATCTCTCCACTTCCCAGCCGGTGTTCCCTGCAACGCCCAAGTCCTTGACTCCTGATCTGCTTGGGAGGACTGTAACCCAACACACCCAGCATACATCAAACTAAAACCAGTCAGAGAGCTCCCCTCCCAAGGTGCCTGGCTTCTCTGGAGTCTTCGCCTCCCCAAATCCCTCTTCCTCAGACAGCCATGGAAAACATGACCCAGTCCCACATGTGGGGGAGGATTCAGGTCATTCATGAGGGCTCAATTCTGTCTCCTCTCTCCACTTCACCTCCGTGCCAATGGCTTTTGTTCATCTACAAAGGCCCCTGAGGTGGAGAGGAAATCGGGCACTAGGGAGATGCCCAGTTTTACTCCAAATCGAATACGAAGCCCGCCACAAAGGACTTGCCCAGCTAAGAATCCTGCCCTGGAGAGTGGCAGCCCAACACCAGCTCCTACTTGCCCAGCTGCTCAGAGTGACCTCAGGGTCTCAGGACCCCATCCTCCAAGGCCTGGGCCAGGTGAAGCACACTGCCCCCACCCACCCCTTGGCAGAACTAGTTGGCATTCAGGCCAGGCAGCTGATGGCCTGCGAATTATCAATATCGATATCAAAGCAACTGTAACTTGGTTCTGCCCAGGGAGGCAAGCAGACGTGGGCCCTTGTGTTTGGGAGACACATGAAGCCAGTGGCATTTAATAATGAAAATGCCTTCCACGGTACTAGGGAAGGCCATCAGCACTAGGGAGAAACTGGCGCATCATCTTTTATACACGTAAATGGTTTTTAGATAAGGCTTTCCTCTTTGGCTTCTGTGTTTGTTTTCTCTTGAGTATCGTCGTATTGCAAATTGAGAATAGGAGGCATGGCAAGCACAGCATCTGAGGTAACCATTCACTGGGCGGGAGTTCACGCCCTCCCCATACATTGCCCCCCACGCCCACTGGGAACACTGTCATTAGCATTTGCTGTGGCTGGCCATTCAAGGATGTCCACCATATGTCTGCTTTTATTGTTCTCTTGATAATCACCTCCATGCCAGGGAAGGAGAGAGCAAAGTGCCTAATCCTGCAGGACGAAGAGCCTGACAAACAGATTCAACTATTTTTTTTTTTTTTTTATTACCCTAACATTCAATGCAACAAACATTTGTCTGTTCCACTGGCAACCCACACTCGCGGTCAACCAAAATCAAAAGAATCCCTCTTCTGTTCAGGTAGTCGATCGTAGAGGCACACAGAGTGAATGAGCAGAGCTGCACCTTGGTATCAAGTAGAGACACACAACGTCCTTTAATACTTCGTGAAAATACCGTCCACTCGTATTCGCGAGCGTTCAGGGTCCCAGCTCACCTCTCCTTCCTCTCCTCCCCTCTTTCACACCTTGTCCTTGCGGCTCACCTGGTCCCCGAAGCCTGGGAGGCCAGCAAAGCCACCTCCCTACCTGCTCCAGCCCTGCTTATTATCCTTTTTACCACAAGCCTCCCAGTCACCTCCTTATGGAAGAGCTTCCGGTCAGATTTAATTATTTTCATCTATGTTCCTCTGCATGTTACTAATAAATATACTTATTCCCTTCTTCTCCTTCTTCTTCCTTAAACAATTTGGTACGCTATTTTTTTTTTTTATTACCCTAACATTCAATGCAACAAACATTTGTCTGTTTCACTGACAACCCACACTCGCGGTCAACCAAAATCAAAAGAATCCCTCTTCTGTTCAGGTAGTCGATCATAGAGGCACACTCCTTCCTCTCCTCCCCTCTTTCACACCTTGTCTCAATTGGTAGGGCTATTTTCCTTATCTCTAGCCAGGGCAAGTGCACACACAAAGCTCTCCATGAACCTGTTCAAATGTGAAGCTGCTTTTCAACAAACTATATTTTAAAACCAAGTGCACATCCCTGCTTCTAGAAATCCTCAAACAACTCTTCTTAGTTAGTGAGTTATTTTCCCTTAGCTAAAAAAGTACCGTAATGCTTCCCTTAAGGAAATTTCGGTTTTTAAATAACATACACCTTGAAAGGTGAATGTTTCTTCAAATCCTACTTTTGGAATTTCTGCTTTTGCTCAAATGGAGTTTATAAGTTGCTTCAAATGGGATTTATACAGTGCTTCAATATTCCATAAAAGTTCTTAGTCAAAAAAAAATTACAGATCTCACAGATTAACTGATTGCTTAAAGATTTACTTCCAAGTCAGCCAAAATTTTGTACATACTTATTTTCATAACAAACATATCAATAAAAATTACCTTCTCATACTCAGTTGAGAAGTCAAACTTCTTTTGTAGAATTTTTCTTAAAATATCTGAGGAAAAAAAAACACAAAAGAATAGCAAGATTACTTTTTCAGTAAAAACACAAAATGCATATTTAGGAAATAAGATCTATATATACTCACACATTACTGTACCTCTATGTAGTATTCTCATAATTTTATTCCTATTTCTTTTTTTAAAAAGATGTATTTATTTTAGAGAGAGAGAGAGAGAGACTGAATAAGCAGGGGGAGGGTCAAAGGGAACGAGGGGGAGAGAATCTCCTAACAGACTCATTGATGAGTGGGGAGCCCGATGCGGGGCTCCATCCCAGGATCCTGAGATCATGACCTGAGCCAAAATCAAGAGTCAGATGCTCAACTGACTGAGCCACCCGGGCACCCCAATTTTATTCCTATTTCTTAATGTAGGTAAATAATTGAGCTAATGAGGCTCGAGCCAGAAGCAAAGAATGGAAGACAAGTATTTTTGACTTACTATTTTGCCGGTGGCAGAATTAGAGGGTTGCCATTTTTAAGAGTTTTCAATTGCTCACTTAATATTTACCAACATACACGTCATTAATAATTACTGATAAAACGGGACACTGAAACTGCTCACTCTTAATTTTTGGAAACACAAATGCAATTCATTCTTTAATCATTCCATAGTTACATAATATTTTACAAATAAAAGGAATCTTACAATTAACTTAATCCAGCAGTTCCTCACATGAAACACCCCTCCCTCCCCATCTCCAAGCAGCACATGAAAACCTGAAATAATACACAAAATGGGATTTTTTCCCTGCATGTTCATTTTGGGCACTTCCTAATTCTTACATAGGTGAAGATTCGTCTCTTATTCTGACTCACCAATCTAGTCATGATATGAGGCAACTGAGGCCCAGCCAGAGAGGACAACTTGACCAAAGCCTGTGATGTGTGAGGAGGCCAGAGCGAGGCCCAGGTGGGTCTTCCTCTCTCTGCTCCACGGTCCTTCCCATGCTCCACACTGTAATTGACCCCAGCAATGAGCTTCTGCAGTGGTATGGTTGTTTCCGTACTGATCACTTCTCAAGTGTACTACAAGGTGGGCAAAGGAAACCCTGTTGTGAATCCTTTTTTAAAGCGAGAAGTTCAGATTTACATGCCGGGGGACAAAGTAAGCCACCTCCCCGCAGGGCTTTCTGGAAAACAACTTCCCACCGTCATAGAGCAGCCCAAACGGAGCAGATCTTTAAAGGGTGTGCTGCAGGAGCAGGGATCATACTGGAAGGTTTGGGGTGCCTACCCTAACCCTAGGGTACTGGGAACACTAGTTATTTCTCCAAGGGACATCAGGGATCTCCTCCCACCTTGAACTAGTCACTTTGCTTTGTTTTT